TTTGCTTAAGCAATAGACAAAGTTATCGCTAACTCTACCTTCCTCCAATTTCCTGTTCATTAGATTTTTTCCACAAGCATGTCAATGGCCTTCCTAATCTGCCGCTTTCTTGTGCCTTCACCGTATGAGGCCCTTCTTTCTATTGCCTCCAAATTGATCTAATGTCCAGTCTGTGCGATGTATTTTGCTAATTCTCTTCTTACGGCATCCCTTTTCCTGCAAAGCTTTTGATGTTCCTTGATCCTTATGCTAATTTTTTTGCCTGTTTCGCCAATATATTTCTGTTTGCAGATGCAGCATGATCGACATCCAGTAAACTCCTAGACAATCCAATTTGTCTACCCCTTCCTGATGCGTCTGTAGACTTGTGAAGAGTGCTGTTTTTCCTTCATGGCCACTCGAATATTTTATTTCCTTAATATTGGTCGTAGTTTTTGAGTTTTTTTGCAGGAAGGTAGGTATATCCACGTTTGTGAATCCCTCTCCCTCCTTACTGTTCGTTCATAGTCTCTGTTCTATCATTGGCTTTTCATGGCCCGTATGTTTCTTTTTATTACTTCGCTTGGCCAGCCATTGCCGAGAAATATACTCGTCAATTTGTCCAATTCTTAGTCCCAGAAGTCCATATATGTTGAGAATAGGCTTTACATAATCATGCTCCTTATTATTCCTATCTTTAACCTTTAATTGTAGTGGAACTGTAAATTGAGTATTATCCCGGCATAAGACTTCTTTCTGAAAAATTTCTTCTTGAGCATCATGTTAGAGCGAATCACCCCAATGTCTAGGAAAGAAAACCGATCACCTTCCTCTACTTCCAACTTGAAATACTTTTTTTTATTAATCTGGTTTATAAACGTCAGAAAATCTTCTAGTTATTCTCTTTCATGTGACAAAGTGCAAAGTAATCATCCAGGTACCGAATTAGCACTGCTGGTTGTAGCTGTGATGTCTTAAAGTTATGTTATAATTTGTTCATGTATATATTTGCCAAAAGAGGTGAGAGCGACGATCCAATGGGAAGTCTAAGTCTTTGTTTATTGATGTTTGCTTTGAACGTAAAATAGTTTGACTTTATTGTCAAGTTGACTAGTCTTGTTAACGACTCCCTCTTGATCCGTTGTGATTCCAAGGTATCCTTCTCTCGGTCCAGGATTTCTAGCAGAGTCGTTAATGCATTTTCTCCAGAGATATTTGTATACATGGATTCCACATCAAAGCTTACTAATATGCCTGTTTCTTCCAATGCCATATTCTTGATTTTTTGATAAAAAATATATAAAGGTTTCATAGTGCTTGATAGCCTGTCATTTATCATCTTGTGTATCGAACATATGAAGTGTGCCGATTTGTGTGCTGCTCCATAATTGATGATGATTATCAATCTTAGTGGCTGGCCTTCTTTGTGTATCTTCGGTAATCCATAGGCTGTTCGTAGTCGTGCATCCTTTCTTATCATTGAAAGTCTTATCCATGTGTGAATTTCCTTGTTACTATGCATCTCTTTAAGCATTTCACTTAAGATTCCATTGATCTTCGTATTTGAGTCCTTCGTTATTTTACGTTATGTAGTCCTGTCTCGTAGAATATATTCTATCTTCTTAGTATATTGTTTTTTGCCATTATCACTGTCGCTCCCTTATCCGCATGAAGAACTAATTGTTCATTCGTTTCCAGGGTCTTGCGTATCCTGGCAAATCTATTCCTATGTGTTGGCGCTTGATAAAACCACTTTAACTGGTCGTGCTGGTTTTAACCTAGGCTGTCTTATAATCCCAAACTTACGCGATTTATCGTCGTGTCATTTTATTATTAAGTCATAGATCATAAGTGATTTCCTGTCAGTAGCGCTCAGGACTTTATGAAAGTCTTCCGGAATCAGGATCCTGGTCAGATCACGCCGGAGCTTTTACTAAATATTTATAAATTTACCTAACTTATTCCTCTCTGTATCATAAGCCTAACTTAGTTTCTGAATAGAAGCCTGGTGGAAATACTCTGTAACATTATCCGAGTAGGCCAAGCATATTTTAACTTAATTCCCATCTCATAGCAAGATTATTGCAAAAAATAATATAATCTTTATTTCTTGTCTTTTAAACATACCACCAGGTTATATTCGATCTGCAGAAGATGTTGCCTTCCTGCAAATGGAGTAGGAGGCAGTGGGGGAACATGAATTATGTGGATAAAGTGGGCGGTTCTGCCGAATCCGGGCACAACGCCGGTTTCGTCTTCCAGCCTTCTGGCTTCCTCATCTTCGTTGTCCGTCAGGCTGCTGGGTGAGTGACCTGGCCAGTAGCATCGACTTCTTCCTCCACCAGACATTGCCCTTTGTCGGATTAGCCGGACAGCTGCACTGGCTAGTCTTGAAGAGGCTCTACAAACGAATGAGGCTACGTGAGCAGGAGAGGTTTCTGAGTTCGAGACTCTCGTTCTCGACTTTGCGAAACCAAAGTTAGTTAGTGCATGAGCATCTGTCATGGGAGAGGTTTGCCGGCGTGGCCCATTCACAACTTTTCCCATTCCTCGTGATGATTGATCGTTCGACCTGTGATCTCGATGTAGATTGTGAGGGTTGGAATGATAATTACGACGAGCATGAGTCACTAGGCTCTTTTGTACTGATCGTGAGCCTCCGGGACTCCGACTTGTCCGATTCGATAGTTGCCCTGTTAGCGAGCTGATGAGAACAAAGAAAAGCATCAGAAAACTAGAAATATTTGATTAATGAGGCAAGTTAAGCAAAACAAAGAGAAAGCTGCCAAAAAGGATAATTATCACAAGGTTAACTTTTTTCATCTTTTCTAGTAAAAGAGGATCTCTAAACTATCTTGAAGTGAAAATATTTAATGCTAGAGTAACTCTGGGAGCTGAGATAATAAGCTCTGTTTTAAGATATAAAAAAGGGCACAACAAAGGCTCAGTAGTATTCATAGATATGAAGACCAAGATGGTGTGGCCCTCTGTTTGGTCGCCGTCTCTTTTAGCTTTATAGTATTGGTTAGTCCTTGTATTCGCAACTGGTTGGAGCGTCAGGGAGACCTTGTGAAACGTACCTAGTCCCGTGCCCTCTGTCATAGTATTCCTGATTTCCAACTATTAAACTCGATATTTATGCATTATATCATAGTCTACAAATGCCATCTACTGATTATAATGAGTAAAGATGAGTCAGTCTTGGGCAAATTCGGTATATTGATGCTTAATAAAGGTTATTTTAGAGTAAATAATGCAAATTTCTACCGGCTGCTTGAATGCCACTCATGTTTATCCCGCATATGATTTCGCGCCCTCTCTAGGCCCTTCCGACTGACGTTTGACTGCGATCTTTGTTGATACCTCCTGCCTGGGATTGACTGGTCCATCGGCCTAGTCGGCTGTGACCATTCTGCAACTGATGCTGGTGGGGTCTGACATTGCCTCTGCCTGCTAGCCTCAGAC